TTTTATCGAGAGTATTCTTAGGTAACTTCAGCTACCTAAGATGTAATTAACTATAGGGGCTTGCCCTTATAGGAAGCTTTTCCCGAACCCAGTATAATATAAACTCTATTTAATTCTTTATATTAAATAGGGGAATTTGTCGGCCAATACATTAGTTTTCGCAGACCAAACGAATGTCATAATTTTCTCTAGTTTATTTGATCGAGCCTCACCCTCAATTCTTGTGTTCATCCTTCGGGATAGATATAGGATTTGAGGTAAAACGCTCTTTCATCTAAACTATGAAAATTATGGGGTCAGTTTGACTTCATCTTTTTCAAAATTAATTTTTTTTAAATGTGCTTCCGAAGCGGGCAACGGGATTTCAATTCCGATGACCGACAGCTTCTTACGGGCAAACCTCACACCAAAAATAGTGCCGATAATCATGACATCATTTCTTACTCCATAGCATATGATAATTAGCTCTCATTCTTCTTTTGGTGGATGATAACTCTCCCTCTCTCTTTTATTGCATGATATGCCCAACTCATTACGCACTACTTCATATGAGAACTACCACTTGCTATTTTTAATTAATAATTATTTAAAGGATTTTTAACTTATACAAATTTAAAAAATATTAACTTAAATATTTTTATGTATTAACGAAAAGTGTTTATGTGACAAACAATTCATTAGCATCATGGATGCTCATGCTAATGTGAACTAGTATGATCAAGATGTAATAGAATGATAAATTAACTTCATTATTAATGCTTCATGAAACAAAATTGTGTAGCCATAATTATTTTTAATTATTAAATCAATGTTTTGCACATAATAGCGATAATGACACAATTAATATTTTTATTAAATTATTTTAGGACTAATGCAACTATAAACTATGAAGATAAACTTTATTGCCTTCATCCCATAATAATAAGAAAAAAAAACTAACAATTATGTCCTCTCAGATTTCAAATAGCATTTGGTAAGACTATGTTAAAGAAGAACTCAGCCACACACTTGAGTTATGGATTATTAGTAACACATGTAATAAAATGAATCAAAAACTAGTAATATAATTAAGTATAGCGAGATTTTATATGTCATCGTGCTAGTTGCTCTTCTTGAATCTAAAATAGTGAGGGGCTTTTAAGCTTAAAATTACCCAAAAGAGTTTTTTCTTTTCTATTTATAGAAGAATAATCAAAGAATAAATGTACTATTAAGTAGATAAATGATTTAAATAAATTTAAAATTTTTGGTTGCCTCATCATAAATACTTGCTTTTAATGTTCTTGTGTGACTCAATTCTTCTTAAACCATAGTGTATCAAGTAAAATATTATATGTTTTTTGTGCTTCTCAAGACTTGTCCTAGCTCCAACATTACCCACTTAAACATTAAACTTGCTTTTTATAGATTTTATCTATCAATTTTGCTATCTAATATCTTTTTTTAAAATTTAATTTTTCATTGCCTCATAAACTTTGAAAATCACTTATTCATATTACACGTTAAGGCGGAGTTCTTCCATTTGAATGACAAGTTTACGATATCGTACTTTTTATCCTTAGTATGGTAGGCTTTAACCCTAAATCTAAATATTGGTGATAATTTCTAGAATTTTATGAATTATTAATAATGTGTAATCTCTCAACATAAGGAAAAAATATTGCGTTCGGAGTCCGGCCGCAAGCTACAACATGCTATACACTACTGTTGTTTTTTTTCTTTTTTTTCCTCCTCCGCTCCGTTCAGTGTATCACGTCCGTTGTCCGGACGCCATATTTTTTCCAACATAAAGGCTCCCATGGTAAGGTCCATGACAAGCTCTTCATCATTTGCCATAGCTTGATGTGTAGCAATATAGTTTTTTTGTTAGGTTGCTGAAGAGAATTCTTTTATTTTTTATGTTAGAAATAATAGCCCACCATCAGAATGGATCATACACAACATCTAAGCGGTGAAATAAAGTTAGAAAAGAATAAACTAGATTCAAAGTAAAAAATCAAAACCAAGTTGGTGTTGATATTAAGGATTATAATCTCTAATAATAACGCCAAAAATCTAGTACAAAAGAATGCCTACGGAATAGTATTTTATCACATAAGTAACAAAGTGTTGAACATAAACATTATCCTATAAAACATATATCACTAAATTTCAATATTAACTTGATTCTAGTTTTATTTTTATGAATGAATACAGAGTTATGGCATATCCTATAATAACCGCTTCAAAAAAAAAAACCCATATGAGTGTCGTTTTGTGAAGAAGTATCGTTTGAGCGAAAATAAAACAAAACTTACCTACCTCTCTCTCGTTTCCTACATTTTCTCAATGAAAATTTTGGGCAATAAATAGAGAGCATGAGATAGAAGAAGTGAGTGTGTGTTTGTGTGTTTGTGTGTCTATGTGTGTGTGTGAGAGAGAGAGAGTGAGTGAGAGAGAGAGAGAGAGGTGAAGCTGTGAAGAAGAACATAAGAAGAAGTGTGTGCCCTAACTGAAGAAGATGAAAAAGAGTTGTGGGTGACTTCTTGAAGGGAGAGTATACATGTGGTGGTATGTGAATGTCTAGTCGAGGTGAGCACCAAAAACGGGTGCTTGCATGAAGAGGAGCAATGTCACAGATGAGGCGAGAAGAAGATATGAAGAAGAGAAGTAGGGGCTTCTTGTCTATGAGAAAGTAGAGTCAGCATCAAAGCAATGTTGTTCGCCGCTCGTTGCAGGCTCATCGGAGTGAAGAAGAAGAAGAAGAAGAAGAAGAGAAGGAGCGGCTTGTGCTTAGGTTTGGCGTCGTTCTATGAGATGAAAGCCCGTGCCCCAACCGATCAAAGAATAAGAAAAGAAGTCCAAAGAGGAAGAGGTGTACAACTCTGAAAAAGATGAGATGAGTGAAGGTAGTAGATTGCGGGCTTTCTTGGTGCTGGAACTGAGCCACACTCAAAGGAAGAGGAGGTCGTGTGTGCGAGAAGAGCTGATGACCAAAGGATTAAAATAGGTAAGTTTAAAATTTTAACTATTAATTAAGGAAATATTATCTAATTAATGTTAACATAAAGTTTAATTGTATCAGTATTGGAGCGAATAAGCCCTGAATTTGACAATGTAAGGTAACACTAACTTCCTGTACGAAGGAAGAGGAATAATCGCGGGTTTGAAGTGGAAAGCCGAGGCCCGTCAAAACCCTAATTTGCAACTTAATGTAAATTTTCGTATTGGAATTATTCATTTGAAATTTATATACATTAACTTGATATAAATTTAATATATTAATATGAAATTATGTTAATTGAGGTTAGAGATGCTAGCAAGAAAACAGTGTGAGTCAATGAAGAGATTGTTTTACTCTTAATTCCTTGCTCTTTGCCCAAAGAGCTTCCTCTCCCATCCTATCCTGTTTTATCAATAGCATTTTGATTGTTCATTATAGGCTATTAAAAATACCATCAATGCAATTCATATATTTTACTTCAAAAACACATAAATCAAAACAGCTTTAATATCATTGAATTTATTTTAGAATTTATTTTGAAATTAATATCATAACATAAATTCAATAATTATCAAGCTCAATTTCATACAACTAGCACAAGTACCTTTTAACACTACTTTTTCCAATTTATTTTCCACCAACATAACAACCACCCAATCACAAGATTACTTAAATTTTAAGTCCATAGCACATACTTCTTATCTATTTACATATTTCGCATCGAAAACTTTCATATTTACAAACATATCACTAAATTTTTTAATATCACGACAAAAAAAACAAAAAAACACTCACATCGCATTTAGCTGGTGTGAGCTCTATTTTAGTCATTTAAAACCCTTTAAATCCGAGGCTCAATCTGCTCGTAAGGAAAAAATATTGCATCAGGAGTCCTCATGCAGTTTTGCATTACGATTCCAATTAGGACTTGCCACGTGTACAGACCGGTTGGGGGCCTGTCTGTACACGTGGCAGACTCTGATTAGAGTTCTGATGTAAAAAATGCAATCAGGCCTCCTGATGCAACAATTTCTTGCAAGACAGCCCTTAAAAATGAAAAAACACAATTTCATGCCTAATTTTAAAACACCAAGAGTGTTATGTATGTAAAATAATAAAAATTCCGTGTGAGATGTGTAAATAGACAAGAATTATGTGCTATGGATGTAAATTTACCATCATCTTTTCGAGCTCTGCTCCTCAACCGACATCTTCGTCCCCACCGCTTGCGAATCGAAAACCTGCGTTCTCGACTTGCACCCCAGCTTCCTCCCCAGAGATCCCCACCCCCCGGCAGGCGGCCGCCGCCCTCCTCCGGCCTCCCCGCTGCGATCAATCCTCTGGATCGCACGGCGCATGCTAGAGCACTCCCGCTCCAGATCCTGCACCCTGTTCCTCATGCTATCCATCCCCAGCCTCAGGGTCTGATTCTCCTGCGCGGCCGCTCGCCATCTCCCTCCCTCGGCCGGAGGCGGCGGCGGCGGCGGGGGGCGCGGGCGGCGGCGGCGGCGGCTGAGCGGCCGGTGGTGGATCTTCCTCCTCCGCCGTCAATAGGGTTCCGGCGATCGCCTGTCGGAGCTGGAGCTGCTCGAAGAAGAGGACCTGAACAACTGCTCGAAGGGGGAGCCTCTCGTTCTGGGCGGCGTGGGTGCAGGCCTCTAGGGTTAGCTTCCGGAAGTTCAGCACCCCGGTTAACTTCTCCTTCTCTGTCTCCGTCAAGGATGGGTGCGCCTGTTTCATTCAAATTATTCCATGATGGTTAGGGTTTGGTTCAAGTAGTGTTCGGTAAATAATTTAAATCTTAATTTAACTGCAGTGTTTGTGTGTGTCGGGGTAAAAAATATTAGGTCAGGACTACTTATACACCCAAAATTCAATAGTGGGGCACCACATGTCAAGTGGACCCCATAAATTTTAACACTGATCAATCCCAATGTGTTGCGGTGGAGCCACTTAACACGTGACGCTCCACCATTGGACTCCGGACGTAAATCATTGAACTCCAGACACAAATTACGTCCAGAGCCTTCGCGTGTGTGTGTGTGTGTGTGTGTGTGTGTAAATTAAAGTTTTAAGGGTTGCATGTGTAAATGGTGGAAAAAATTTGGTATGTACACAGAAATGTGTACGTCTGTAACATGCAAACATGTTACATGGAGAATTTTGGGAGGTTATAACTGAGTTATACCACCTCTAACCTCTCTGTAACATACCTGTATATGAAAACAGAAACGCAGAACTTATTAGAAGGTACAGGTAAGTTCTTGCTTATAGATCAATTAAAGATATAATTAAAAATTAGATTTATTAATACTTGTTTATAATAATTAGACCAAAAATAATTATTTAGTAATTTATAAGCGCAATTAATTAAATATTACTTTCTTTTTAAAATTAAAATAAGTAGTTAAAACTTATTTAAAATAATGAAAATTTTATTAATATTTTACTTCACTAATTAAACTAAAAAATCTAATTCATTAACTTAATTAAAAAAAATAGTTAAAATTTAATGACAAGAATTTAAAATTTAATATGTTTTTATTTATGTAGTTTAGATTTTTAATTAAATCATGAATTTGACTTCGATCGTTTGGTTGGATGTATTCAACAAATCTATAATTTAGAAAAGATTAAAAGAAATAGTTTTCAAAGAATATTTGGTAGCATTAAAATCAAATAAAATGAAATTATTTTTTTAGGATGAACATGAAAACATAATTAAACTCTCTCTCTCTCTCTCTCTCTCTCTCTAAGTGGGGTACCATGTGGGAATAATGGGTAAGAGCTAGGAAAAATGATTGGGGTGATGTTGCTTGATTAAAATATAATTAAGTGTTAAAAATGAACCAATATACTTGATGAATAATTTAAAATCGCTTGATTAATATTTAATCATGTTTATTCAAATTAATAAATAAATAATTTTAAATATTTTTTTAAATCACATTAATCAAATTGAATAGTCCAACTCATTTATTAATGTTCATGAAAATATTCAATTATTGTTTAACAAGTAACTTGTTAAATGCTCTGTATTTATATAATATATTATTTAAATAAAATTTAATTAATGATAATTTATTTAATTATAATTAATATTAAGATATGATAATTTAATATCAATATCATATATATTTAATACTTTCTTAATATTTTATTTAAATAAATTAATATTTTAATATATATTTATCTTATTTGATTGAAAAAAAATTACTTGCAACTTATGTATCATACATTTTATTTGATATAAACCACTTAGATCCTAATATGAAATATATTTATTTAAATTTTTAAAATCATTTATTATTACCCTTGCATGAAAACACAATGACAAATTGAATTTTTTATTTTATATGAAAAGATAAAATGCTTATTTTATTTTTTTCTCCTCAGTTAATATAACCAACAAGCTTAAGTACAAACCAAGTATGATAATTAACAAAAATAAACAGGACAAATATGAACATATATGTGAGTGTTGAATCCTGATTTATCTGTGAATCACAATCAATGATAGAATAAGAAATGAGAGAGAGAGAGAGAGTAGAGAGAAATACACAATAAGAAATACACAATATTAGGGAGCACAATATATAAAATTACATATTTGTTCTTACTTTAATGAATGCGTTATATGATATTTTGAGTATTTTACATGTATATGCATTCGGCTCGACCACCCTATTACTTGATTGACTGGAATGGGTTGATCCTGGTTTGACAAGACATGCATTCAATTATGTTGAGTTAGGGTTATTAGTTGACCTTTGATGACCTTAGGGTGGGCAAGAGTTGACTCGATCGACTTGGCTTTACCAATCGGCTGTGCTATTCTGATTGTTGACTATTAATCCCCAGGTAAGGAATTCCTATTGGTAGAGCAAGACTATCAAATAGAGAGTGTATTGTTGTAATCCGACATGTAGCTTACTCCTTGACGAGGTGATCATTTGAGATGATTCGTGTGATTATGTTATAACCAAATCTCAGCCTCTAGCGAGGGATCTCAAGGACGCCCACGAGATGGCTAGCAATATTGAGCTTTTTTCTTCAATCAGGTTATAATGATAGGTAGGTCAGTGCCTCTGCTTGGTTGATTGGCTTTGATTTTTGGTTCAGTGACCTACATTCGATCACCCTCTAGCCCCAATTCAGAGGGGGTTGTAACTAGTCAAGTAGACTGCTGGTCTTTAGCCTATGTGCTCTTCCTAGTCGCACTCCTTTATCATTTTGTCCGTTGGATCTCCTCGAAATTCATGCAGATGTATAGAAAGCTAAACCCAAACTCGAACTGAACATGACTAACTTATTATTCCATCAAGCAAAGTCCAAGGCATGACATCTTGGACTCAACTCAACTTAACTCGATTAAAACATTACCAACCCATAGTAATTGCGATGAAATGGGTTTAGGCTCGTCAAGATGAGAATAACATAGAGATATAAGATGACAAAGATGTTGGGTGATGACAATAAAATTGGTTTCAAGGTCCATAGTCATGACTAAAATGATAATGGCATAAAAGGATGGGTAGTGGAGCATCATAGAACTTAGGTTTCGATGGATTCATTTGAATAAAATTGATTATATTTGACTCCAATGAATAATTTAAATATCTTAAAATTATATATATTCAATCAACATAAACACCTTTTTTTCCAAACAATTTTTTAATAAAATTAAATTTAATTAATTTTTTAAATTTGAATTAAATTAATTCATGACTAATTTGAGTTAAATTTTTAATAATATTTCTACATATAAAAGAAATTTATTAAAAGTTCATGTCTTTCTCGAACATACCTTAAGGTAGACATCAATGGCGCGGTAGAGGCCATCATCGTAAACCCTAGAATGGTCCGGCAGAGCAAGCGCAATGTCGCAGAACTTATCAATCCGAAGGTTAGCATCCGAAGCTACCTCCGCCAGGTACCCATCCACCAACCTTCCCACCGCCAGGAACGGCTCCCCGTTTCTCGCCGGGAATCTCTCCATGTTCTCCGATGAATCCACCGCTGCAGTCGCAGAAGAAGCTTCTTCAATGTAGTATCGAAGAATCCGATCCACTGTGTCCACGTCGTACAGCGTCTCCACTAGGTACGAATAGCTCGGCAACAAGAGATCGTCGATCGTGGCCTGCTCGAGCTGTGCGGCGATCTTCTTCTCCAATGCCGTTTTGAGAGATTCGGGCGAGTGAAGAATGTTCGCGGTTCGAAGTAGGCCGAAGAGAAATTGGGCGGTGATGAATGCGGAGCTCTTCCCCGGTGAGAGATTGATGATTATTGTTTCGAGTAGATCTAACTGAGCTGGCTCGGATGGCGGCTGCGATGTTTTAACATTCCGCTTGGATCGAGAAAGCCCGGGGATGGCTCTATTGGCGTAGCAGACCAGAGAGCCCTCTATGAGCTCTGCGCTAGGGTTTCTCTCCTTCATCGCGGATATTACACGCTTGTAGAAAGGGAGATTAAGAATGGTGAGATCTTCCATCCAGTTAGCCGATCGGATCCCATTTTTGCGGCGATCGGAAACCGGCCAGCTGAAGAGGGAGCTTAGTTCGGTTGCGCAGGCGCTGCTGACTATCTTGTCTATGCATCGCTGAATGATGCGTAGATCCTCTGCGAGAGGAAGCAGAGTTTCGCAAGTCTTAAGTGCTTTCACGGATTGGGAAATGCTGTGGAAGACCGATTGGGTGAGGAATTGCTCCGTACGACTAGCAAGGTTGTCCTCCGCGAAATCTTCGGTCATCTCGAGGTACTCGGCGGCGCATCGGAGAGGAGCCGCAGTGATGGAGGAGAAATCGATCCTCACGCCGTAACAAAACTTAGCAGCCGCCTCGAAGGCTGCGGATTCAGCAGGGAAGTCGTGCAGAGAAATCCGACGGATTTCTCCTTCTCCTACTTCTCCCTCCTCCTCTGGTTCCGATAACACTTCGTGGAGTTTCCGGCTCTTCAGCATCAACGGGAACTGCAGAAACGAGCTAGAAATCAGAGATTGAAAAGAAAAGGAACATAAAAAGGAGCTTAGGGTTTCTTGATTTTGGCCGACCTTGTGGAGATGGAAGCTCATGGAACCGACTTCGATGATCACATCGCTGGGCAAGCCGGTGGTGCAGAACCTGAAAGAAGCGAATGGTAAGAATTTGTACAACTCGATGGAGAAAGGAAGAGGAAGAAGAAGTTGAAATTAATCGATGTGCTCACCATGCTTGACTTCCTGCAACTGCGACGATCTTCTCTCCCGCCATTCGTCTTCTTCCTCTACTCTTTAAGATTCATTCCTCTTTAATTTCTTTCTGGATTTGAAGCCATTTTTTGTCTGTGGAGAGCATTGATGACCGGCGGTCGACGGACAGGATAAATTTGCAATTTCTTTCTTTTAATGCAATTTTTTTCTTTTCGGCCCAATTTTATTAAGAGCAAACTCATAAAAGAAGCATAATGATGTCGAATTTAAAATGTTTATACTTTATTTCATTGATAAAAATAATGGTTTTAATTAAAGTGTATTATTTTTATTTTAAAATGATAATTTAATCACTTAATTTTTGTAATGTTATATATCTAATACTTAAATTTTTATATTTAATTTGTAATTTTTTAATCGTCTTGAAAATTGATTCAAAATTTTGGCTGGGATCTAGATCGGATCCAAATAAACGAGCTGAGATACGAGCTAAAATTTTTTATTGAATTTTTTTCAAGCAGATTTCGAGTCGACCCTAGCTCAGCTCGAAATCTGATCTTTTAATACATCTAGTGCTGTTAGTGCTGTGAATTTAATAAATTTAGCTTGAAGATCATTAATTGCTTGAGAATTGATTCGAAGTTTGGTTTGAATCGAGATCAGAACAAAATCAACAAGACGATCTAAATTTTTTTATCAATTTTTTTTTGAGCTAACCCCAGCTTCGCTTGAAACTTTTAGTGCTACATATGGAGGTCCTCAAATTATATTTATTACATATAGAGATTGTCAAACAGTTAATTTAAAGGACTCTGTTCAGCCCTGTCTGCCTCCATTGGCGGAACAGCAAGACCGCAGACTCTTGTCCCATCTATGCAACCAATCTCTCGTTTTTGCCCAAAACAATCAGAACTCTCATATTTCTCATCTCTCTACACCGCTCCGCTTCAATTCAATGACATCTCTTCAACATGCCTCCAACACGGCTCGCTCTCCTTTTCTCAATTTCTTTCTAGCTCAAATGACGATTGTATAAGAGACAAAGAGAGGGATAGGGGAAGAGAGGAAGAGCTCTTCGGTGCTTTGAGTTAGGGGACGAGAAGGCTACGGCCTTGCTGTTTCGCCAATGGAGAGATACAAAAGGATAACAGAGTCCTTGAGGTGTAAATTAAATATTTAGAGACCTCTATATGTAATAGATATAATTTGAGGACCTCTATACATAAAAATCCCTCCATAAAAATAACAAAAAGAATTGATTAAAGTCATCAGAATCCTGCATTTTGATCCACAAGGAAAGCTAAAAAGCACCTATACAGTGTGAGAATTGATTGACTCGACCGTTACCTTCATTCCAAAAGGTTCTCTAAAAAAGCAAACTATTGGAAATGTTCATGAAAAAAGGGAGGCTTCATATTTGTTGTTAAACATGATGTCCACGTCTAGCTTTCCTTTCCATTGGAAGCGAACATTTTGTCCACACTACTCTATATTATATATATATATATA